GTCGGGGCGCTTTGCCTCCTCCCCCAAACAAGTGACTCGGTGTCGTTTTCCCCCCTCCCCCACCATCTAGGCCTCCTCGGGTGCTGGACTCGATGAAGGTCAAATGTGACTCCAGGGACCAGACACGGGGCTGCCACAGCCCCCCCCCCCCCGCGTTCTGCCCGCCGCCCCCCTGCCCCCTGCCCCTGCACGGAGCTGGGCCGGGACACCTAACCCCTGCACCCGCCACCACACAGCTGGGGCTCCCTGGCGCCCACCTTCCCGTGGCCCTGCCTGCTGGGGCAGCCAGCCCCACCCTGAGCCAGCCAAGGGGGCCTTGGGGGGCGGCACGAGCGGGGAGTGGGTCGCGGAACTTCTCTGACGGCTGCAGCCGGCGGGCAGGAGGCTTCCTGTCGTGGGAGCAGGGAGAGGCGTGGAGGGGAGGGTCAAAGTAACAGGTGAAAGGCAAGGGACGGGGACAGGAACCACCTGGCAGAACTGAGGGTCCCCGGGAGGCGTGTGGCACCGCACGCAGTGAATCCGCACGTTGCTGTCCCCCCCAGCCGTGTGGGCGTTGCCCAAGCGGGTTGAGGCGGCAAGAGTGCACCCCAGAGGGGCGGCAGGGGTGTGGCACTGGCCTGGCGGGAGGTGGCTGCATGGCACCCCCAACGTGGCGGGTCCCCCTCGATGGAGGTTCTGGAACCTTCTCGGTGAAGCTTGTCACTGCCTCCCACGGACATCTGCCTCTCTCACTGGGCTCGTTTCCTGGTGCTTCACATATTTCCCGGCTCTTTTAACGATGGCTTTTCAGAGTTTCGTTTTCCCACGGCACTGACGGTAGATAGCAATGCAGTGACATGGCCAGGCGCGGTGGCTCACGCCTGTCATCTCAGCACTCTGGGAGGCCGAGGCTGGCGGATTGCTCGAGGTCAGGAGTTCGAAACCAGCCTGAGCAAGAGCGAGACCCCGTCTCTACCAAAAAATTGAAAGAAATTAATTGGCCAACTAATGTGTATAGAAAAAATTAGCTGGGCGTGGTGGTGCATGCCTGTAGTCCCAGCTACCCGGGAGGCTGAGGCAGGAGGATTGCTTGAGCCCAGGAGTTGGAGGTTGCTGTGAGCGAGGCTGACGCCATGGCACTCACTCTAGCCCGGGCAAGAGTGAGACTATCTCAAAAAAAAAAAAAAAAGCAGTGATGTCTTGTGGGGGCCGGCCTTGACCCCCAAACCCCGCTGAGGTCTCTCAATGCTACTAACAGTTTATCTCTAGAAATTCTTGTGGATTTTATCTCTGGAATTTTCTGGAACACGATGACATCATCCACAAAGAATGACGGTTTTGTCTCTTCCTGTCCTTGTTTTCTCCTCCTCCCCGGCGGCTCCCAAGGTCGGGAGCGGGGCGCCCTGGCCTCGTGGCGGACGCCGTGGACCTGCTGCAGCTGCCGGGCTTCCGAGGAGGCTCGAGTCAGGGCAGGGCGTTCCCTGTCATTTCTGGAATGCCGACCGTCTATTTCAAACGTTTTGGATGGATGCGGAGTTTTATCAAGAGCTGCTTCTGCTGAGACGATCACATGATTTCTTTTTCCTCCCTTAATCCGTCAGTGTGACATTGAATGACACTCTGAGGTCAAACCAAGCTGCGCCCACAATGTGGTCGTGGGGAACATCTATAGGATTTAGCTCATCACTGTAAATTATTATAATGAACAGAAAGAGCTCACCAAGGGCACTGGATGCAAAATAAACGGAACCTGATCGTGTTTCTAGCAGCAGCAGCTAGCAAACGGTGGTGTCCGCGCATTGCTAGGCTTGACTTGCTCATATGTTGCTCAGAATTTACCAGTGTCTATCTGGAGGCTTTGTTGGAAAGAAAGAAAAAAAAAAAAATAGAATTTACCAGTGTCTGAGTAAGACTGCCCTGTAATTTTCTTTCTCTGTGATCTGTTCAGGCACTGATGACAATGAAACTCTAGCCTCGTAAAACGAGTTGGGGAACGTTCCGCCTCTTTCTATTTTTCTGGACGAGCTTGTGAAGGAATGGAGTAACTTCCTCGAGCGTTTGGTAGAACAGGCTTCAGTGTGGGTTTCTTCTTCTACCTATTTTTGAGTTCATCAATTGCCCCCTCAGACATGTCTAATCTGTTATTACGCCTATAAACTGAATTCTTACATTTGATTGTTCTATTTCCTAGTTGTAGAACTATATACCACTTGGTACTTTAAAAAAAGTTTCGGTTCGTTGTTTAAACTCCTTTTTAGCTCTTTGAAAACTGCAAGCAGATAAGACCACCGTATGGGCACAATGTATACAATGTACGTGTTATTCAGGGGTTGAATTCCCTAAAAGCCCTGCCCTCACCACTGTACAATCTGTGCGTGTAACAAAATTACACTTGCACCCCACAAATTAACACAATTAAGAAATAAATAAGGCAAAACATATGAAATAAATAAGGTAAACGCACGCATGCTGTCTTTAAAAAAAGGAAGAGAACTGTAAGCAGAGTTACTACTAAGTCTCCGTGCTGCTGAGGGTCTGTTTCTATCGTCTGTTGTGTTGCAGGTTTTCATTTGTGTCGCTTTCTCTCCTTCACCTGATTGTGTCTTGGATACAGTGTTTGCAAAATTGCTGGTGGACATAATTTGATATCATCTTCCTCCCAGAGGACCAGTGCTTGCCTCTGCCTGGCAGCTGGGGACAGCAGCCATCCAATACGTCAGTGACTGAGACAACGTGAAGCCGAGTGGCAGCCCTGAGAGGGCCAGGTGTGGCCCTCCCAGGACCCAACCCAAAGGGAAGGGTGGCCCTGCAGCCCTGGTCCCAGTGCCCGTCCATCTAGCTGCTGGGTCAGCAGCTGTCCCAGGAGGAAGGTGACCCCAAGGGCCACCCCAGCTCCCGGGCACTCTCTCCTCATGTGGACCCTTGACTATGAACCCTGCACTCTTCCGTGAGCTTCCCTGAGATTCCAGGCTCATTCTGTATGTCTTGGTTCTTCTGCTGCTCTTGTGGGGGGACCGGCCGTCTGTACCGCCAAGCGGACAACCCCCGTGCTGGGCCCTTTCCTATCTTGCCTTCTTTGGGACTAATTTTTCTGATTGTAGCTGCCCCTTCCACTACTCTGGAAGTTGGATCCCCTGGGTGTAGACAATTACAACTCAATGGGCCAAAGCCCACACGTATGTTTCCTGCCATCTTCCCGAACACCCCCATCATCCTGTCTAGCTAGCTCTGACTCTTTTCAAGCCCTGGGACATCTTGGCTTCCACAGTCGGGTTCCAGCCTGCCCACACACTCCGCTTCCGTCACTCTTCCGCCTGGATCACGTTCCTTCTGCCTTCTTCAAATCCCCTTTTGGTTCAGGTCTGCTGGTGGCCAGCTGTTGCCCTTTGTGTTTTTAAATTTCTTTACGTGGAAGGCTGGGATCGAAAACCTCGCAAAGCATAGCGCACGTCACAAGCGGGGGCACCCAGAGCAAGGACCCCAATGCCGGCCCCCAGAGCCCCCTCCCCCCCCTCGCCCGTCCTCGCCCGTCAATGTCTGAGCCAGCGATGACTTTGCTTGTTTGCGAAATGGGCACAGACGGGCTCGTGGCGTGTGAGAGTCGCTGGTGTGGCTTTTTGGGTGGCGATCCTTTTTCCTTTTTGTTAAGTTCCCCCGTGGGATGAGCGGCAGCCACGTGGCAGCGGCAGCCACGTGGCATCAGCAGCCATGGGCGCCTGAGGGTTCCCCGTCTCGGGCTGACCATGGGCTGCCGTGGCCACCGTGGCACTTCCTGTGAAGCTCACCTGCCAGGCACCTGCGGGGTGACCCCCGGGGGTTGCCGGGGCGACGGGGTGCCTGTGCTCGCGGCAGGGGGAGGCGCGACACCGCCCTCCACAGTGGTTCTACCAACCGCCAGCGCGCCCAGCTGTTCACGTCCCTCCTGGCGCAAGTCGTTGACAACCTGGGCCTTACGGACGCCTCTCCTGGCAGGTTTGATGCGAGGCTGAGCCATTTTCACACGTTGACCGGCCACTGGGGGGTCTTCTCTCACTAGGTGTCTGTTCACGTCTTTTGCCTTTTTCCTTTTTGGTAGGGGAGCAAAATTCAAAAGGAAAGAAAGAAGGAGGGAAGGAGTTTCCGGGACCGCCCAGGAGGCTGTGTCGGCTCTCGGCCCACCCCTCCAGCCCAGCCCCCACGCCGGCCGCCCAGCCGCGCCCCACGCCTGGCCCGTCTTAAACGTGGGGCTGGCCGCGGCCAAAAGGACAACATGCGTCCAGCGCCTTCATCTTTTCTTCTCGATCTGAACGCCCGCCGGCCGGTCCTTTCCTGCCGAGTCCTCCTGTGTCCGGAGCGAGACACTCTGCTCGCCGCCAGGTCACGGAGCCCTCCGTCCTGCCCTCCTGCGCGTTTTCTCGCGTTCCTTGCACAGCTGGCTCCACGACTGATTTCTGCACAGCTGGCGAGATGGGGTTCGCTGGGTGGGGAGCCCCCGTGGCTCCGGAGCGGGGTCGAACCCCCACCCTCCGCTGGGGCCGGAGCGGGCGAGCCGGGGAAGCCACCCCCAGGACCTGCGGGGAGCCGCGCCTGGGAGGGACGAGCGCTGGGGCCGCCGTGGTCATAAATACACTTTATTTCATTAGAAATGCATAATTACAGTGTTTGGGGGCGTCTGCCCCTAGAAAAGTAGGTCAGCAGTGTGTCCGTGGAAACCGCCCGCGCCTGTGAACCCGCCTCCGTGCCGCCGCGCACGGACCACGGCAAAGGCCCCCGCCACGCCACTGTGCTTTCCTTTTGTTGTTGTGGGATTTTTTTTTCGGTTTTCTTTTTTGTTATAAACACCATAGCAAATTAAAAAAGCTGTTTAAACAGAAAAATATCAGTTCTCGATTTCCCACGTGCCCTGGGCACACGGGGCGCCTGCCTCCTTCTTCCTGCAGACGCCGGCGGCGGGGCGAGAAGGAGAAGGGGGTCTCCGGCCGGCGCGGCGGCTGCTGTCTTCTGCTTAGTTTGTTAGGACGCTTTCCCCGGCGGAGGCAGCGGCTCTCGGACGCGCTGAGCGGAACGGGCGCGCTGGCCGCCGTGAGGACGGGTCGTGGGGGGCCAGGCCGGCAGCCAGGGCCGGCGCTGGGCCCGGTGCAGTTCCGCGGCCGAGGTGACGGGCGCGCCTCACTGGATCTGGATGGCCCCGTGCTCCAGCTGCATCTCGGGCTGGAGGGTGGGCTGCAGGGTCTCGGCCGTCTGCGGGGGAGAGAGGAGGGCTTCTCTAGAAAAACCGCCACCACCCCGCAGCCAGGCCTCTCACCGGGCACAAAACAGCCCGCGACTGTCGTGCACAGGGCAAGAAACTCACACACCAGGGCTCTCGGGGGGGCCCCCCGGGGTCACGGGTACAAGACGCCCCGGTCTCGGGGGCCCCCGCTGCCCTGGCAGACCCAGCCCCTCCCCCCCCACATGCCCTGGGCCGCCCTGGCCAGCGCGGCGGCGGCTGCTCCCGGTTTCCCGTCCCTGCCCGAGACTGGCGGGAATGACAGCACGTCCCTAGCCTGGCACGCCGGCCGGAATCTCGGTCACCGCCCTGCCTCCCTGTGGAGCTGCCCCGTGCTCCAAAAAGCATCTTAGGGGACGTGACTTCGCTTCCCTTAGAGACATACGTTCTACTCAGTGAGTTACAGGTGTTGAAAGGACTTTAAATGCTCACTCACAGCTCTATATTAAGACAAGTTAGAGGACAAATATCTGATCTCGGAATAAGTGCCTGATCACGCATCTCGCCGCCCGGGGCGCGGCAGGCCACACGCGGGCTCCGTTCAGACGCCCGGGGCTCAGAGCGGGAGCCTGCGGGGCCGAGAGAAGGCGTGGAGCCCACGGAGGAGCCGCCAGGGGGCACGGTGCTCCCCGGGGACGGCGGCCTGGCCGGCCCTGCCCCATGGAGGGGACCCTCGACTGCAGGGCAGCACAAGCTTGGGGGAGGGGGACCCCGAGCTCGCCGGCCCGTGACGGCCGGCTCTGAGGAGGGGACGGCAGGGCAGAACTTCGTTTTTGCCTCTGCGTTTACAGACGTTTCCGCGAGACGGAGTAACTCAGGAATCTGCTGAGATTTGAAACTGGGCCGGGATCTACCCTCTCACCTTCGTGTGTCCAGGTGCTTATAAAAAAATAATAATAATAATAAGGTCCCCAAGCGAGTGTCCGTGCCCAGGTCCCGTGCCGTCCAGTGGCGGCCACAGGACAGAGTCACGGAGAGAAAGGCCCCGCCGGGCATGGGCAGCGGGCCGGGGCCTGCGCGGCAGAGCACTCACCTGCGCCCCGGCCGTGTGGTCACTCACCGGCGCCAGCTGGACGTACTGGACCTGGATGTCACTGCCCTGGAGAGGAGACCCGTCCACCCCTGCCGCGGCGGGGTCCGAGGAGGCCACGGCTATCAGCTGGGCCCCCTGCAGCACCTGGGGAGACAGAGCAGAGGCCACGTCAGCAACGCGCGGACACCAGAGAAGCGGCGGCGGCCCCGTCATCCTCTGAGCAACCAGCAGGGAGACGGCCCCGGGGCCACACCGAGGACCTGGGGTCCACTCTGACCCCAAGATCGTTTTTTTTTTTTTTTTTTTTTGAGACAGAGTCTCGCTCTGTCACCTGGGCTAGAGTGCCATGGTGTCAGCTGAGTTCACAGCAACCTCAAACTCCTGGGCTCAAGCGATCCTCCTGCCTCAGCCTCCTGAGTAGCTGGGACTACAGGCATGCGCCACCATGCCCGGCTAATTTTATATATATATATATATATATATATATTAGTTGGCGAATTAATTTCTTTCTACTTTTTTATAGTAGAGACGGTGTCTCGCTCTTGCTCAGGCTGGTTTTGAACTCCTGACCTTGAGCAATCCGCCCGCCTCGGCCTCCTAGAGTGCTGGGATTACAGGCGTGAGCCGCCGCGCCCGGCCCGTGACCCCCAGATCTTTTCAGAGCAATGGTTGTGGTGGTGTGAGAGAGCTGTCTGGTCCTTCTGCTGCATCCGGGGGGTGGGGGGAGAGAAGCAGGGGGGTGGGGGAGAAAAGGGGTCGAAAGGGGAGGGCAGCACCCACCCTCCGCCTGACCCTGACCCACGCCCGGACAGCAGTTAAAACTGGAAAAGGAGAGAACGCACACATGTGTACAACCGGGTTTCCAGGCAAGTTCAAAACTCAACAAGAACATCTGCCTGGCACGTCCACCCAAAAACCTCCAGGCCGCTGCAAGGAGTGTGGCCGACAGCCGTGACTGGCATGGACAGTCGTGACCCGTGTCCACAGCGCTGAGTCCCCTCCCTGGAAGACCCTCAGGGCCCCAGAGTGCGGCCCCCTGCGCTGCACGCTGACAGGCTAGGCACAAACGCGCACGTTAGCACTGCAGAGAGAGCTGGCACCTTTCTGGGGGAGGGGGGAATGACCGAAACAAAATGATTCAGCATTTTAATTATGTTTTTCAAGAATCCATCAGCAGAAACTTCTCATTCCCTCCCTTGATTTATGGGGTAGGATTTTTCTTATTTCTGCCTCAAAACTAAATTTTTCCAGGCAACGTGGCTTTGCTTTCACTAAAGCTCCGTTTACACCAAAACTGAGGATTTAGGAAAAAGCAGCAGGAGACTCTCCAGGGGCAGAGTCCTTGGCGTTGTGGGCTTGGTTTAAGTGCTGGTTCCTTCCAGCACCTTCCGGCTGTGTGGGCCTGACCCAGCCCCTCCACCCGACCCCCAGGCCCGTGGCACCCAGGGGCAGAGCGGCAAAGCCGGAGGGCGGCCCCTCTGCGGGTGCAGGGGCAGCGGGAGGGGGGCAGGGGGCAGGGGGAGGGGACCCAGGGCACGGGAGGGGGCGGAGCAGGGGGAGGAGGCCAGGGAGAGGGGGGCCGCGGGCAGGGGTGCCGCAATCACTGGCTGCAGCCAAGGAGGAGCAGACAGCAAGCTCCTGAGTCTTGCTCGGAGGAAGACGATGCCAGCCGCTGGCGTGACCCAGGGGTCGGCAAGTCCCTAAGCGAGCACGTGGGTTCGGTTCACGCCGGCGCGAGCAAACGGATTTAGCATTTCAAATTGACTCGACTGCCCCTTATCACCGAGCACCAGCAAGCTCCTGGGTGCTGGCTGCTCCGCCAGCCTCAGCCACTGCCTCGCCCGTGCAGGCGGCACCCCTGCACCCCTATCGCCGTCGCCAACTGCCCCGTGGAGCCCCGGTGACCCCCACGGCGACGCCTTCTCTCCAGAACCGGACGCACACGTCCACGAAGGGCTCACCCACGTTCCAGAGCGGACGGACCGGGCGCCGTGCCGTGTCCCTCCAGGGAGCCAATGAGAGCGCGTCCCGCACCTGCGGCGCACGTCTGCGCAAGCGCAGGGCCGCGGCCAACGTTCTGCTAAGGGTGGGGTGGGGGTCAGGAGGCTCGAGCGTCCTCCAGCGCCTGTGGCCCTGACGCGTTTGGGAACCGTCTGCCGACGCAGCTGCGCCCGCGCTGCACCTGGGAGGGCCCCGCCCCACGTCCCTGCCAGGAGAGGGAAGCCCGGACTCCCGCACCCGGAGGCGCGGGGTGGGGTGGGGCTGCGCAGCCGCAGTCCGGGGACCACCCAGGACCGCTGGCTGCAGCAGGAAGGAAGGAAGGATGCTCCCTGGCCGAGTCCCCAGGGGCCACGCCCTGCGGCGCCCCTGCACCTCCGGCCTCCAGAGCTGAGAGGGAAAGAATTCCTGCTGCTGTGAAGCTCCCCCGTGGGGAGCGGCCCTTGGGGTCGCAGCCCAGAAATGGGCTCTCCACTTCCAGACGCGCAGATGGAACGCAGTGACCCCTGCCCTGTGGCCGCCCGGTCGGCGTGTGCAGTTGCCAAGGCTTGCGGCCTGGGGCTTCCCAAGGCCCTGCCCCTCACGTGCGGCTCCACAGGCGGTTCCAGGGCGGCCTGCTTCCCGCACCCAGCGTCTCTCCCACACGCCCTGCCCACCCCCTGCCACCCAGAGCAGGTCCGCCTGGGCCCAGCATTGTGGCCACGAGCACAGCCGCTGGCCCGAGAGGTTCCAGAACGCACAGACATCCTCATGGACCCTGGGCTGCTCACGAGGCTTAAAGGGCTCATGGAAGAGCTGCCGACGTTCAGGAAGACACAGCCGGTGGTGTTTGATGCAGACTCCCACTTCCAGCTGAGAAGAGCCAGCCCTTTGGACTGATTCCTAACCAGCCCGACTCGGCTGCAGTTAATTTCTTGTCTTTTTTTTGAGACAGAGTCTCACTCTGTCACCTGGGCTAGAGTGCCATGGTGTCAGCTGAGTTCACAGCAACCTCAAACTCCTGGGCTCAAGCGATCCTCCTGCCTCAGCCTCCTGAGTAGCAGGGACTACAGGCATGCGCCACTATGCCTGGCTGATTTTTTCTATATATTTTTAGATGGCCAATTAATTTCTTTCTATTTTTGGTAGAGACGGGGTCTCGCTCTTGGTGAGGCTGGTCTCGAACTCCTGACCTTGAGCGATCCGGCCCGCCTCAGCCTCCCAGAGTGCTGGGATTGCAGGCGTGAGCCACCGCGCCCGGCCTGATTAATGTCTAATGAACCCGACTCACGTCTCCCGCAGAGGATTGGAGACCCCCCTCCTGCCAGGGGTGTCCTGAGTCCCAGTGGCAGGGACAGGGCCAGCTCTCACAGGCCAGCGGCCAACCCACCCTCCGGGCCACACGGCCTGGGGCCCCTGCACTGTCTGGGGCGACGTCCCGGGACACCCCGTTCAGGCGAGGGGAGGGCCGAGGTGAGAAGGGCGTCCGGGGACTCAGGAGCCAGAAACATCCTCATCCCAAGTCCCCTTCCTGTGTCCACGGCACGGTGCCCGGTCATGTGTGAGGCAGCTGTGAGGTCACGCCCGGGTGATGCGTCACATCGGCAGCGTGTCCGCACCTGGGCGGAGCCTGGCTCAAAGCCGGGTTCTCCGATCGGCGCCCATCCCACAGACTCGGCTCACTAGCGCCAACGCGCACGGACCTGGCGGGAGGCGAGGGCCAGGCCTGCGCTCTGGGCCAGGAGCCCCCACCGGGCACGCTGCGGCCACGGGCCTGGGTGTGGCGGGAGGCGAGGGTGGCACCCTGGCCCCTGGGCACGCAGGGGCCGCTGGCCGGCTGAGAAAACGAGAGTCCCCAGCGCCCCGCAGCACGGCCTCTGGGGCCACACAGCACTCCCAAGGAGGCCCAGCTCTGAGGGGCCCACATGGGTGTCCCGGCCGCGGTCACGGCCACCTCAGAGTCCGGGGGACGGGCTGTCTTCAGTCTGCGGCACCCTGAGCTGGGCGTCTCGGGGGCGCTCCTGACGCCACTGGGGAACCACCCCGGGGCACCCCAGCCACCACCGACACCCAACTAAGACCAGACCCGCCGCGTCTGCTCATGCTGCTCCCGCTGGATAGCGAGCTGGCACTGCCCTGCCGTGCCTGCCGGAGGCCCCTGAGCTCAGCGTAACGCTGTGCACTCGTATCCCAAACCCCTGATCCTGTCCAGAGGCAGAGATGGTGCCAGGAGACAGCAGCCTGCCCGCTGGAGGGGCGGGAGAGGCATCCGCGGGGAAACACTGCTCCGCTCCAAAAACGCTACCCGCCCCAGGCCACGCTGCAGCTCGAGAGAGCCGCCCCCACGGGCCGCCCCGCGGGGAGAAAGGGGCCTCTGTGCTTGTGGCCTGCCAGCTGCACGAAGGTCGGCGAGCTAAAACGGCACGGGCTTCTCCTTCAATCATCTCAACGCGCTGTTAGCACCGGCTCTAACCTTCCAACCAGGCGGCCGGTTCGGGGCGGGATCTGCGATTTCTAGATGAAAGACTCCTCGTAAATACACAATGAGTTTAGCAGTCGCTTGGCGGCTCACCCGCAGAGTGAGCTAGAAAAGAGTGAGTGGAAAATCATACTACACTCGAAGCCCATCTCCCTCCTCCGCGATCCCGTCCCCTGACAGTTCAGGGACGCGGCGGGTGGCGCTGGCCGGGCCCCTCACCGTCCACACAAGGCCTCTGTGTCCCGCCTGTCGGGACACGGCCGCGCCACTTGCCGCCCTTGAGCCGCGCCGTCCGGCCAGCGGGCCCTCTCACGCCTCCGCCGCCCCCTGCCTGCGTCTGCCAGTGGCTCCAGTGCGCGGCAGGGCAGCAGGGCGGGGCGCACCCTCCCACGGAACCTGCCCACACCATGAGCCACCCATAACGGGGAAACAGAGGCACGTGTAAAAGACAGTGACAGACAAGCTTCGGAACAGCCCAGAGAGTCACCAAACCTTCCCTAGACGGAGAAGGTCCCAGCGCTGGATCCCGCTAAAAGGAAATCCGTAATTACTCAGAGGAGACGGTTTGGGGGATTTTAAGTGAGGACTGTTCCCTACGTTTCCACGGTTAAAGGATTAGCGAATATAGGCCATATTTTTAAATGGCTTAAAAACAGGAGAGCATCTCCAAATGTGTTCGCTTCGTGCGTCCTGCAACCAGCCAGGTGCTAATTGGGAATAACCGCTGTTGCACTCACCCACCCAGCAAATAGCCGCCACGCGCTGGTGAGGCGTGGCGCGTGCTGGGCTGGGCACTGGGAGGACCGTCTGGCTTTACCGTCCTCAGGACTCCGACTTAACCTTTCCAGCGTGGGTTTGAAAACGGGGGCACTGAGCGGGAACAGTCCCCCACCTGCCCGGCACAGTCGCGGGGTCGGCGGGGGACACCAAGGGCGCCGGGCGCAGAGACGGCGCGAGGCGAGGCCACGGCTTCCTCGCACGGGACTGCGGCTCCGGCCAAGCGAGCCCTTCAAAGGCCCCGTTGTCTCGGCCGACGGAAACGCCGCCCGTGCGGACGCAAGGCATCTTCCGTCCAAGCTCTCTCTCCCTGAAAAAATGTGAATGTCCTTCCCGGCCAAACGCTCTGCCCAGCCTTTCGCGGGCCCTCGCCCACATGAAAGAGCCTTCTGTGCTACAGCCGCCGGGACAGCGTCCAGGAAGTTGGACAGGGATGCAATGGCAGCCCCAGGACTTCCCGCCTGGTCCACTGCGAGATCACCACTCAAGCCTGGCGCCGCCTGCCGCAAACACCAGAGAAGCCGCCGCGGTCAGTCCCGCGCCCGCTCTGCGCGCGGCCGCCCTGCCTTGCGCAACAGCCCCCGCCGGGGCACGGGACGCGGGTGTCAGAGCCGGGGTGGGAACCCCCCCTCCACCCCGACCGGTGGGGGCCACCTCCTCAGACAGAGCGGGGGACCTGTCACTTTCCCAGGGTGTTCTGGGGGGACTAGGCAACACCAAACTCACTCCATTTCTGACCTTTTGTGGCTTAAACTGCATTTTCCACTGTTTCTGGTAGGGAAGGCTTTTCCGTAAGGGATTCATTCCCTGAGCCACCAAGACCCTCCCACACCTCGGTCTGTGTTCTGGCACGCAGCACGGGGACCCATTTTCCTGGCGGGGACCTTTCCACCGGAGGCGGGGCAACACGGCACGCTGTCTGTGAAGGTGAGCCGACCCCCCCTCGGTGACAGGCCCCGCGAAGTGGCCCGGAGCCCACTGGAAATGCCGGAGGCCGTTTTTCTGCCCCAGATGAAGACGCCCGGCACACACGGCCCCTTCCCCTCGCCCCATCCAGAAATATCTTCCATATAAAACTCTGCACACTTCCCACCCCTTCTAATCTTTTCCCCAGCTGGGCTGAGAATTCCCTGGCTGAGTTGAGAAGGCCTCACTTCAAGGAAAAGACTCTGAAAGCTACTGAAACTTGCTCTGAAGCAAACTAGGAGAGACGCTGATGCCAGAGAGGGGAGAGGAGTTTAAAAGCTTCCAGAACGCCAACGCCTCTGTCAGCCGGGTATCAGCAAAGCTATTTCAGAAATGCGCACTGCGAGTGGCCTGGGTCACTCACTGTCTTGCCTAACTTTGCTCAGCGCACATGCAGTGTGCGTGTGTGTGTGTGTGTGTGCGCGCATTCCTGGGTTTGTGCGTGTGTGCTCATTACTAGCGATGGGTTTACCAGACCACACACACAAAAAATCCAGGTTTTCAAGTGATTTGACACAAGTCTCTTTCACAGAGAGCTTAGGTGACGTGAGCTACAACTATTACAAAAATTATTAAACGCTTTCAGCATCAGAATACACATGCACTGGGCACAGCACCGAACACTTTCGTGATCCGTGATCTAAGCCACAGGGTCAGTCCCGAGCCTTTCAAGGTCTCCTCTGCGACTGAAAGATCTTCCAACTATAGAGAAGTAACTGGCCCAGGTTGGAGCACCCCCATAGATGCGGCGTCAGCTAGCAACAGAGCGCGGTACAGAGTGTTCACAACTTCCCGAGCCTGAATCCACCGACCCCAAAGCTGTGCTGCGGAGCCTTTGTCCGGAGGCAGCACGGAGCGCCTCTGTGCCCGGCAACCGCGCAGGGCGCACGCGGCGAGGCCGGACGGGCCGTCCACTTACCCCTGGCCTTCCTTACGCTTTCCTGCCGTCCAGCCCTCCGGTGACGGCGGGGGCCTGGTTCCTTTCGGGACCCACGTGGCCAGCGTGACGACCAAGCCGTGTGAGCAGCAGCGTGGGAACTGGCCGAATGACGGGACAAAAGCAGAATCTCCCCAAGCGGAAAACAAGCAAGGATCCGCCAGACAGGTTTTCCAGGAAAGGGCAGCACCGTGTGGACACACGCTGTCTACCTACGCCGGTCTCCTTTGCGGCAGGTGCCGGGCACCGAGATCCGCCAGCCGCCATCGGCGTCAGCACCGGCCCTTCCTCGGCTCTCTCTGTGCTCTGGCGCCCAGAGAATGACCGACCACGGGAACCGGGAGGTGGGAGGAAAGTACGAGGTTCCACAGGGACAACAGTCGCATGGTTCATAAATGGCTACTCATCTAATACGGAAAGCAATCTGTAGGGTAGCTGTACTTTGCAGTGAGGCTGCTTGGAGGGTCGGTCGGACCACGCGGATGGCCATGAGTGGGAGGTGGACGTGGGCTCTGCCCGGGCAGCCGCGGTGAGTGGGGACAGCCGTCGGCGTCTGGACAAGTCTCCTTCAGAGGATTCTAGACAGCGGCCCTCACAGTGCCAGCCCTGAGTGTCCCGGACTGGAACCCGCGCTGGCCCCCACGCACCTGCCCCGCCTGGCCACAAACGCTGAGATCTCTGCCTCGGCAAGAGGGCAGGGCAGCGGACCCACCATCGCAAGCGTCACACTAGCACAGCATAAAAACCTGGCTGCGTCTTTACAATTCCAAGGGGACTACGCCCAGGGACAGAGACAGAAACAAAGGACAGTGGAAGGTAACGTATCTTACTTTTCTTATGAATTCACGTCCAGCCTCATTTTCACTGTGACAAAATTCCACTACGAGTACAACGCAAACCACCAACTCGTCAAAAACCGAGACAACCTCCTAACAGAGGCCGTCCCCCTGCTGTCCCCGCCGGCCCCGCCCGCCACTGACACGGCGCGAGCGCTGAGGCAACCACCGTGGAGTTTCCTGGACTGTGCGTTCCGCTGGCCTTGGCGCTTTTCCAAAGCAGCTATGTTGTGTTTATGCACAAACAACATTGCAGGACTATCTGATTAAAACCTCCTGTAACTTTCAAACTAAGAAACTCCGATCTGAACAGATTCCGGAGGGTCTGCGGCCCTTCTCCCCAAGCGCACCTGAGGGGTCAGGGGAGACCCAGGCCGCGTCCACCCGCCCGCCTCCCTGCCTCTGTGAATGGCGTCACCCCTGGGTGCCTCCGGCCCTGTCTGGGCAGGCGCAGCCAGGCCTGGCCCGGGACACGGGACGCACTCACGGTTTTCAAAGGGGAACATGGTCGTGGCGTTGGGAAATGACACGTGTCATTGTCTCTTATTTTTTTTTTTTGAAACAGAGTCTTGCTCTGTTGCCCTGGCTAGAGTGCCGTGGCATCAGCCTAGCTCACAGCAACCTCAACCTCCTGGGCTCAAGCGATCCTCCTGCCTCAGCCTCCCGAGTAGCTGGGACTACAGGCATGCGCCACCATGCCCGGCTGATTTTTTCTATATATTTTTAGTTGGCCAATTAATTCTTTCTATTTTTAGTAGAGTCAGGGTCTCGCTCTTGCTCAGGCTGGTCTTGAACTCCTGAACTCAAACCATCCACCCGCCTCGGCCTCTCAGAGTGCTAGGATGACAGGCGTGAGCCACCGAGCCCAGCCGCGTATCATTATCTTGATGTTACGTGAGCTCCATCTCTGTGGTTCTCACGACCAACTTCCCGAGTTAGAAAGATCACCCACACTGGTGACGACACAGAAGCGATAATCTCTTTACCAGAAACCGTCTTTGAAAGGACACGAGAATGTCAATCCACAAAACCACTCACAGTTCCACCTGACCCCGGTCAACAAAGCCCTCGGGGACCCTCCTGGCCCGGGGACATCCCCCTGCAGGGGCAGTGGCCGGGGGACATCCCCCTGCAGGGGCAGTGGCCGGGGCCCTACTCAGCACGAATTCTTTTTGTCTCAGATTAGGAAAGGGCGCTTGAGTGGCTTGAGCCCCACGGCGACACGCGGGAACAGAGCCGACCTTGCTTGCACAGGCGGCTGCCGGTGCAGACAGCACCCACGACATTCACGTAAACGCACGGAAAACGATGGTAAGCTGGGGGCAGTCTCCTCCCTACGGCAAAAGCCTCTAAGCAGCAAACATAAAGTCCACCCTGCTCGCTCAGGCACCTGTGTGGGCACCGCGAGGCCACCTGGCTCCCCGCCCCCTCCCGTGGGAGCCGCCACCCCCGCCAGAGGAAGCCCCGTGTGTGAGAAAAGGCCCGGCGAGGGGCGAGGGGGGGGGACACTCACCTGCCCGTCCTGTCCGACGTGATGGATCTGGAGGTTGCCCTGCAAAGGGGTGACAGGAGAGGGCAGTCAGGGACAGACACGCCAAGGCGGGTTCACACAGAGGCGGGGGCCTCCACGCCACAGGGGACAGCTCCAGAAACTCAACCCCAAAACAAAATATTTCAACTGAGTTTCTAGGGATTATTTTTTCTTAAAAAGACAAAGCAACTCAAAAAAAAAAAAAAACCCCAAAAAAACAGTTGCACACATTCCCCACCCCCTGGTGACCCCAAATGAAAATGTCTCTATTATTTTTTACTTTTTATTATGAAACGATTTTAGATTGGTAAGAAGCACGTGAAGTAGGACAGACAGGTCCCGTGCACATCTGCCCGGCGCCCCAGTGGGGTGGCGCGCACGGCTGTGCCCCGGCGGCACGGCCCGGACGGGGAGGCCGCACGAGGCAGCCGCCCCGCTGGCCTGGGAGCCGTGGAGGTCTCACCAGGTGCAATCTGTTTCCACTTATCATGAGAAAGAACTGTCTTGGGTCTGGCAGATGCTAAATGTCTCTCAGCAGCTATCCTCATTACAATAAAATAATTGCTTGCCATCTCTTCTAATTCCTGGCATTCAATTTCTAATAAAAACAAAAAAGGGCTGAATTATGTATACAAGATGGGTCCAGTTTTGAGAACTGGGAAAAAAAAAAACGGGCAAAATTAGTAATAAAAAAATTAAAATTCAAGAGGTAGTCTAAAGATTTCTTCTCAGCATCAACAACACAAAGCAAATGCGTGCTGACTTTTTCTTTGACTACGGCATCAATTTTCCTTCATTTCCAATGACTGGGAGCAAATCAGGACTCTGACAAGAGGGACACGGCCTCGAGAGCATGAACCGCCGTGGCCGGGCCGTCCCGAGTCAGCGTGTCCCCGCCAGCGCCCTCGCTCCGGGGCTGGCCTGCCGACTGCCGTGCTCTTCCTACCCGCACCTCCGTGTAACGGAAGCAGCCTGCGCCGCTGCCGGAACACGAGGAAACTTTCGGAAGGCGGCTCTGAAAAGCCAGCACCACGGAACTGCCGCGCGCGTCCCCTGCGAGAACTCCCGAGAGGCCCCGAGACAGCCCCCGGCTTCCCCGCCACCGCCAGGGCTCTGTCTGCCTCCGCGTCCCGGGTGGGGACACTTGGGATCTTGGCAACAGCTAAAGCTGCCGCCGTCCCCGCCTGGAAATGGGCGCGTCCGTCGTCTCCCAGAGACAGAATGAGGGAGAGCCCCCAGCTGCACACGTCACACATGTCCGCTGCTGGGCCGGTGGGGGTGGGGTGGGGGGAGGGAGTGAAGCCCCCTGTGTGTGCGGACCACCCCCTGCCACGCAGGGCCCTCCCCAGGGGAGGAGGGCGGGCAGGTGGGAGAGCAGGGTGCTCGGGGGCTCCTCCAGCAGGAGCAAACGGTCTTCATGAGAACAGGCGAGGCCGCGGAGACAGGTGAGCAGCACAGGGGAGCAGCCCGCACCTGCGCCTTCAGAGGAGGGTGTCCTGCGACCACGCCGGAGCGACGTATTCCCGGGCGCTCCCAGCCGTGTGGGAGACACAGACAGAGGCCCGGGGGCGCCGGGCACAGTGCCAGCCGAGGCAGCCCCAGCCCCAGGGCCACTCACCTCGCTGTCCTGCGTGATCTGCACCTGCTCCCCTTGAGGCACCTGGGCGATGTGGAGGTGTCCCTGTGGGATCCGCAGCAAGAAAGACACAAAGGAGCATCAGGAGACAATCAAAACCACGGGAAGCGAGGAGCATGTTCCGGAACGATTGCTCTCGATTACCTGCCCTGCTGCCGAACTGTGCAATATAGTATGTGCGTGGGACAAGCTCTCTCTAAATTAAACTGTACATGCACAGCTGGGCCCCTTATCCCAGCGGATACATGCCCAGAACCCCCAGCACCAGGTGCCCGGGCCCGGCGCGCAGTGGGGACGTGCGGGCAGAGGGACGCATCTCGTCCCGGGAGGGACAGAGCAGGATGATGAGTGACCACACCACACCACTCACAACGGCAAGCCGTTGACAGCTGATAAACCGTTTACTTCTGGAATTCTCCATTTGACTTTTGGGGCCACCGTTCATCATAGGTAACTAAACCTCGGAAAGTGGGGCCGTGGCTGAGGGGCTACCGGGCAGCACACGCAGGACACCCCACAGCAGCTCTTGGAGGAGCCACGGGTCTCAGGAAAGACGGGCTAAATCTCGAAATGCACTAAACACTAGATTCATGAATAGGCACGACACATGGAAGAGGGGGAAAACAGGAAATCAGAACGACAACTTCTTAAAGTTCCGATCGGAGGGACTGGAAACCTGGTGGGAACGCCAGGGGTCTCCCGAGACGGGAGGGCGGGACGGGCTGAGCGTGCGTGTGTGCGCCACACAGCAGGGCGGGCAGCTCACTTTTAATCGTGGCGATGCCTACACGGCTATTTACACTCCAGTAAATAGTCGTAAATGTGGTTCCAAAAAAGAAATCAAAGAACCCAATTAAAACGCATCTCTGTTTATAGATACAGGCAGACGAGTAATTCCTATAAACCTTAACTTAGCCAAAGGAAACGCTTATTATCTTATTTGAAATTCTTAGTCAAAATGGGTCTTAAATAAACTCCCATAGAATGTTCTCTGTAAACCCTATGGGGCAAAGTTATCTATTCTGGAATTCCCTCAAAGAACCTTCCCGCTAACAAGAGGAGAGTAACTGCCTTTGTGAACGTCAGTGAGACGAATTTAATAAGCTTATTAAATTCACTACTCATGACTGTCTCATCTCTTTTGCAAGAAGGAAAAAAAACCCTCCTGCAAGCACCCGAGTTTTCCGTAAGCCTCCCCTGCCCCGGGCAGCGTGCCGGGGCCGCGCTGAGACAAGGGCCAGCACCCCCTTCTCTCGGAGCAGGGCCCCGGTCCAGGAGGGGCCCCGGCAACAGCGGTGTGGCCACCAGCGCCTCCTTCAAGGCCCCAGGGAGCCTGGCGTGATTAAAACACCAGCAGCGTCCCGGGGGGAACTTGAGATTTCTGGTTCCCAGCAGGGTCTCTGGTTTCGCCCTCGTCTCTGAGACGTGAGCCCGCACAGCCGCGTCCTTCTATGTTAAGTGAGGTCCGTGCACCGCATCCGGCCGGCCGCGTGCTCGGGAAACGCAGTGACAGCTGTGCCCCCGGCCTCCCCCACCCCACCCCACCGCCGCCACCCCGACAGACCCGATTGAGAAGGGTACATACTACTTGCACCTGGCCGTCCTCGCCGATCTGGTGGATCTGCACCTGCTGCGCGTTGGCCAGGGTGTAGTGCAGCGCCTGGGGCGGCGGCTGCTGGAGCTCGCCGGCGGGGGACGGGGTGCCCATCATCGGCTCTGCGGGGGGAGGCAGGGAGGGCGTTAGGCCTTCTCGGGAACCAGCCCCCACGGAACAACACGGGGGTCCCAGCCTCCCCCCGCCCCCCACGGGAGAGAAGAAGCAACGTTTCGCCAGCTTGCCTCCACTCTGCGGAGGCCGTTAACCGTTAGTTTGGCGCATTTCTGGCATGGAAACCAGGAGGGTCTGAAGAACCAAGTGACGCTGTTGTGACAAAACTGCTCCTACTCCCAGACTTACCTAAATGAACCAAGATCCTCAGGATGTATCCGCAAAAATGAAAAACAGGGCTAGGACTGACATCGAGACCCGTTTTAGACCAGCAATAAACCGTGTTTGCCCCGGATACACAAACCAGGGAAAAGCTCCATCCGCTCACTTGAAAATCCAAGAGATTTTATCTTCTATGTTTAATCAAAACGAACTACATGTTTTGAGGTGCTGTGCATTGATTTTAATTGTGATGATACCGCAATCACGATTTTCTTGAACACTTAGAACACTGGCAGTTCAGGAAAAAAAATTTTAATTTTCAAGTTTGCAGATAATTATGATTGATCAATAAAAGAACTTTTATTTTTTTTTCTTTTTTTCTTATTTTCTAATTTCTTTTTTGTTTTATTTTTTTTTTTTCTAAGACACCATAGGGAATAATGAAAAGAACTTTTAAATATAAAAATGTATTGTACACTTTGGGAGGCCGAGGCAGAAGGATTGCCTGAGGCTAAGAGTCCCAAACCAGCCTGGGCATTACAGCAAGACCCCGTCTCTACAAATAGTTTAAAAAATCAGCTGGGCGTGGTGGCGCACGTCTGCAGTTCCAACTACTGAGGACACTGGGGTGGGAGGATCGTTTGAGCTCAGGAGTCTGAAGTTGCAGTGAGCTGTGATCGTGCTACTGAGCCCGGGCAATGGAATGAGACCCTACCCCCCCCAAAACAGAGAGATAGATAATAGTATTAAGATGAAATTCTGTGAGAGAATTAGAAGATTAATATGGACGAGGCCAGGCATGGCTGCTCACACCTATAAACCCAGGACTTTGGGAGGCTGAGGCAGGAGGATCACTTGAGTTCAGGAGTTCAAGGCTGCAGTGAGCTATGATCACGCCACTGCACTCTAGCCTGGGTGACAGAGAGGGACCCTGTCTCTAAAAAAATTAAAATTAAAAAAAGAATTAATGGAAGGTATAAAATTCCTAATCGTTAAAAGCTTTTCATATATTTTTTTAAAAATAATGGTAAGTATCAAATTGCCATGGCATATAGATTCCACTGAATATATTTTTTAAAGTAATATAACAATAGGCTGTTAACACTTGTAATATGCTGGAAATTACATCCTTTCCAATTACTTCATACTGAAAAATTTTTGGTGTCAACTTTTTTAAATGTCACCTTAAAAATATGCAAACTTCATTAAGAGGGCACGTGAACAAAGTATTTAAAGGCCACTCTGCTAGCTAGCAAGAACTGTACAATAAATAGACTCCCAAGTAACTTCTGCTCCAATGTCAATAAAAATCCACTGATTCTGACAGCTCCCCATCATTCAGAAATACAACCAAGAAGAGTGGCAGTTCCCAGGGCTCTAAAAATCATAGGAGACAGGATTTGTAGGTGTGATATAAATGGTTTCCAAATCTAAGATTCAAATGATCAAAACTACCCGTTCAGGCCGGGCGAGGTGGCTCACGCCTGTAATCCTAGCACTTTGGGAGGCCGAGGCGGGCGGATTGCTCAAGGTCAGGAGTTTGAAACCAGCCTGAGCGAGACCCCGTCTCTACCAAAAACAGAAATAAATTAATTGACCAACTAAAAATATATATACAAAAAATTAGCCGGGCATGGTGGCACATGCCTGTAGTCCCAGCTACTCGGGAGGCTGAGGCAGTAGGATCGCTGAGCCCCGGAGATTGAGGTTGCTGTGAGCCAGGCTGATGCCACGGCACTCACTCTAGCCTGGGCAACAAAGTGAGACTCTGTCTCAAAAAAAAAACACAAAAAAACTACCGTTCATTCCATAGCTTGCCACAACTATGCAACGCGAAGACTAATTTAAGTCCCTATTTTATAATTCACACTGATATTAAAGTCTGGTGCAAAAAACTGCATTGATTACTTGTCCACAATCAAGAGTAGTCCAAGAGCCACGGCAGGCCACGGGAGATGAGGGTGTCCACCCTGTAAGTCCCAAGAAGGCGCAGGACTGCCCCGTCCACTGTAAGGCAGAGAACCAGAGACGTGGCACAGCCGTAGGGGGGCGCTTTCCCCCCACCTGGCCCGGCTCTCCCAGCGCCCCAAAACCACCACCAGCGGGAGGGGAGACAGCTGCACACACAGCTGTGCAGGCAGCGGTTTCCAAGAGCTGGCTCTTCCCTGCAACCCTGAAACACTGGCCACTGCCTAAAATCCCAGCTAGGGTTCAGCTTGCCCGTGAGACTTGTGGGGAAAAAGGCTGAATTTATATATATATATAATATTTATAAGATCCAGCCACCTTAAACTCCAGCACATATAATTTCACACGGCGTTGCCAGGCAGGAGGGTACAATACAGATGATTTTGTAAGTCGATTTTTCAAAACCCCTTGGAACTCCTGCGTTCCCGGCTTGTGCTCAAATCGGCCGCACTAATTGAACTGAACAGACTGGCCTTGGCTCGGAATCCCATCCTCAGTATTTACTTGGAAGTTCCTTCTTTTCTGTCTGCTGTAATTGAAAAGTAAACGAGACAAGCCCAGCTGGAATTACTACTGATTCCAAATTAACACAAGTCTGGCTTAATTACGTTTCGCTGGAACATTTCTGTCGCCAACCACCTTAAACATCAGACCGGCTCCGCTGGGCCAAGAGCAGCTGCAAGAAGAACAAAGATTCCGCAGTCCTTCTACCTAACTCTCCACTCTGCTTTCTCTAACTTCAGCCAAGTGTGAAGTACGTTAAAACAGAGGACTTTAGACTCCACTGAAGTTTACAAAACGGGGTACTTTTAAAAGAACGTGCTCTACGTTTCCCTCAAGGCGCATTCTGCCGCGAGCTGCGGAGACGGCGGCCGCGGGTGAGCGTCTGGCTTCCAGCGGTCTCTTCGGAGAGCGGCGCTCGTCTGTGTCTCCCGGCGGCGGCGCGGGACTGGACACGACAGCGCAGGAGCTCGCTCTCGCTTCTTCCTGGGCAAATAAGCACCCGGAGCCACAGCAACGCAGCTGCGCCCGTCGCTCTCGCAGGGCTTTTCAGGAGCCCGCTTTACACGCGACTGTCGTCCCCACCACGCCTGCATGTGTCCGCTCCTCCTCCGGCGCCGGGCACGGCGTCCCCCTTCAGAGAGTGGAGCACGGCCGAGCGCACGGGGACGCGGGCGACCCCCGCCCCGGCACGAGCAGGACACGCTACCGAGGAGCAGCCCGTTCTTCAAGCGATGAGAGGCCCTGCTGGACTTTTGCTCGCGGAAGCCAGCTGGTGCGAGCCAGCCGGACCTCAGGTGCTGTCCACGCAGGGACCCGCCCCGGCGCGCACACGCGGAGGCTGTGCACAACCACGGGGTTGCACAGACCCACGGCCTCGCAGAGGGGCGCTGACATGTTTACAAACAAAGAAACAGAGTGAGCTGAAGGAACACAACTACCGTCAAACTCAGTCACTGTCACTCAGCTGAAAGGAACGCCCACGACCGGAAGAGAGACAAGCCCTCATAAGTAAGTAAGCGTGAAAGCAAATGAGAAAACCACAAGCCACGGCAAAGCAGAGGCAAGACGGCCTGCGCTGGAGGCACAGAGCACCGGATCCCAGCCGTGCAGTGGGACGCGGACGCCGGCCGGCTGGGCTGCCGTAACGTGACTCCGGGGGAGGGCACCTGCCCCCTGAAGGTGAGGACGCTCCCCTCCTCCGAGCCATGCAGCCAGAAGCCAGACTCCGCCTGAGCGCCGCCCGGCACGGAGGCGCCACGCGCAAAGTGACCAGCCATGGACGGAAAGAGACGGGCAGGCAGGGCGCGGTGTGGAACTGGCTATGTCCACACACCCACGGGAGATGGGCAGACAGAGTGCTGTGTGGGACTGGCTGTGTCCACTCACCCACAGGAGATGGGCAGACAGGGCGCTGTGTGGAACTGGCTGTGTCCACACACACCACTGGAGACGGGCAGACAGGGCGCTGTGTGGAACTGGCTATGTCCACACACACCACTGGAGACGGGCAGACAGGGCGCTGTGTGGAACTGGCTGTGTCCACACACCCACGGGAGACGGTCAGGACACACGCAGAGGGCCGCCCCTGCGTCTGCCCTGGGCCAGGCCACACGGACCCAGGAGAAACAAGACAGCACCCCAGAGGGGCTGCCGTCGACCTTCCAGAGCCTGCTGTTCCCGCTCGCGCCCTCGGATGACCCGAGAGGCCACGCCCCCTCTCCGCCGACGCGACACTTCCTCGGGCGTCCCACGGACCCGGTCACCAGACCTCCTGAGACCTGAGTTTCTAAGCCATTGCCTTTATCGCTCCCCCCAAAGGCAACGATTTCAAATCCCACTACCCCCTTGGAGGGGTGTCTCTGAGCAGTTCTTGGAGCGGCTCCAAAACGTCACCGTCAGAGCCGCGGGTCAGACGAGCTCCGAGCCGGGCAGGACCGCACCGGGCACAGAGCTCCTACGCAGGGAAAGCAACTGCAGCCACGCTGACCCCGAGAAGGCCACGTCACACGAACGTGGCTGACCAACCGCTCAGCTTCCCGCGCTGCCACGCCGCGGCCGCACCCCTGCAGATGCTCTGCGGCCACATTTGCAGCTGTGAAATTTCACCTCACCGCTTTTGCCCCGTCGAGATCTTTTAGAGCCCTGATAACGCAGACCAGCACAGCCGGCAGGTGTGCCAGGCCACACAGCGAGAGCTGCTGGCTCGAGAAGGTCCCAGGCGAGAGATTTAACTTGGGTTTCGATTCCCCACTGGACGAAATGAACCACTGATCTGACCAAATGCACACAGCTGGACAACCACCCCCTCCTTTTCCATCTCTGGAATTCCCAGCGGGTTCTTCCACATCTTCTATTTCTCTCCTCGCAATGTCCCTTTTTCCCTTGGAATCCTTGAATGTAATTTTATTTTTTTTCTGAGACACAGTCTCACTCTGTGGCCCAAGCTAGAGTGCCATGGCGTCAGCCTAGCATTAGTAGAGGTTTTCATGTCCCAGTCTTTCATCTCCAGATGAGGGCTCTTTCTGTCGACGGGGTTTCCTGGTCTTGGGTCACTTTCCTGCTTCTCGGTATTGTTGACTGGACGCTGGACAGTGTGGATTTTGCTTTCTTGGGTGTCTAGATTGTGTTGTCTCTTGTTTTAAAATCGTTGTCACTTGCGATTCGGCGTGACCTTCCCAAGGCTGCTGTAAACTCTGCCTTTACTCTGGGGACGGTTCAGCCACTAGCAGGCTCTGCCTTCCGACGACTCTCCGGGAGCCTTCGCTGACCACGGAGGACCCGGCCCCTCCGGCCGGTGGGAGCCTGGACACCCCTCGGCCCAGAGCGAGCCCAGGAACATCCGGCTCCGACTCCCAATGCACCGTGCCTAGGGCACGTGTGTCTTCCATCCGGCAAGCACTCGAGGGAGCCCGTGCAGACGCTGGAGCTCACTTTCGTGGACCCTCCCAAGAGCTGGACACTCCACAATTCGTGGACACCTCAGCCTCTCTGAACTCGGACCTGCGCCCCTGACCCGGCGGCACAGCCGCGATACGCCTGCCCCTCTGCCCCGAGGTCCAAACTGTGCCTCCCGAAGGAAACCCAGGGTGACGGCAGGTCACCTCCTGGGGGGTCACGGTCCCGTGCTGGTTGCTGCCCAACGTCTCAGAACAGCTGTCCACGGGTTTTCGTCCTGATGGCATCTGGCTCCTGTGACAATGTCACGACCGAAACCAGAAACCCCTCCCCCTGAATTTTAAACAGCATTTTATTTAAAACTATAAAACCAATGCAGTGTTTACTGGAAACAATTTGGGAACTATAAGAAAACACAAAGAGAAAAATACAAATGAAAGCCCTACTACCCAGAGATAGCCACTGCTAAAACGACCACATACAGATCTCCAATCACTGTGCACGTGTAGCTCTACATTTTTAATAAAAATGGGATCATAGGCCGGGCGTGGTGGCTCATGCCTGTAATCCTGGCACTCTGGGAAGCCGAGGCGGGCGGATTGCTCCAGGTCAGGAGTTCGAAACCAGCCTAAGCAAGAGTGAGACCCCGTCTCTACTATTAATAGAAAGAAATTAATTGGCCAACTATTATATAGAAAAATTAGCTGGGCAATGGTGGCGCATGCCTGTAGTCCCAGCTACTCGGGAGGCTGAGGCAGAAGGATCCTCTGAGCCCAGGAGTTTGAGGTTGCTGTGAGCTAGGCTGAGCCACGGCACTCACTCTAGCCTGGGAACAAGCAGACTCTGTCTCAAAAAAAAAAAAAAAAAAAAATGGGATCACACCATAACTATAGTTTTCATGCCTGCTCCTGCTCCCAGTTAATAACATTCAGCATCGTATCTCAAACTCCTGACCTTGAGCAATCCTCCTGCCTCAGTCTCCCAGAGTGCTGGGATTACAGGCGTGAGCCACCGTGCCCGGCCTAAGCGGCGTATCTCAACTCATGTATCCTACTTCTATACCTCCATTTCCGTAACCGCCGGCTACGGTGCCACTCGGGATTTCAGCAAACGCATCTGACCCACGACCAGGACTGACCCTCTCTAAACCCCCAAGACAGCATTCCGACGTGCGCTAGAAAGGCCTCGACGCCCCCCAAGAGCTTCCTGGATACATGCCACTCGGAAGAGCACTGCTTTCGGGGCACGACGTGGGTGGCCTGCTACAGCTGGCCACCTCCCATCTCCAGCAACCCTTGGCAGTAGGGGCGGCCGAGGATCTGATAACTACCAAAACAACTGCAGAGCCGCTTCCTGCAGGATGGCTCATGGCTCACAGGGGCTCTGAGCTCTCCAGGAGACTTGGTTCAGTGACTTGCAACGCTCCCAGAACAAAGAGCTCTGGCCCACAAAGGCCCCGCTCAGAAGAGCCGGTCCTGCCCATGGCTGCCCCCGGGGCCTGACCCCACCCCCAGCCAGAGCTCGGGTTGCAGGAGCCGCTCTGCCAAGGGAGCTACTGTGGGAGTTTAAAAAGAATTGTTTTAATTCAAATATTTATTCAAATATTTTGGGATGTCTTGGGTGAAAGGCAAGATAAAGTCACATTGTCATTCCCAGCAAAAATTTTCCCAGGGAAAAACGATCCTTCCAGCAATGCCTCTAAGAGGATTTTTTCCCCCATTATCTTGTGGGTTAGTCTAACTGAGGCCAAAAATTCAAAATAAGAATAAAGAGTATAAAAATTTGGAATCCACCCAACCCTTCATCTGCGGTCATCGTGCAAATAACAGCGATACAATACCGTCACTGTTACTGTCGTTGTGCTCCGAGCCAAGCTGACAGCAGAGGGAGGAGGTGAGCAGGCCTCATGCGCACCTGTCCAGGCCCTGACCCGGCCCTCTCTCTGGCCCGGACCCACGTCAGCGGGCAAAGGCCTCGACACCCACTGCCCAGAAACCTCCGGGGAGGCCCAGCGGGTCCTCTGTCCCGCAAGGCGGAGCCTTGAGCGGGCCTGGCGGAGGTTTCCTGCCCGGGAGGTGAGCACACAGGGCGGACACTTCCCGTCACCCGTCCCCAGCGGTCGCTGCGATTCTGCAACTCGGGCCGGCCTCGCTCGGGACTGTGGCCCTCGGCGCACGGCCGCGCGGGCTGTGCTCCAGCTGGGGGTCAGCGGGTCCCGCAGAGCGCAAGGCGTACCTGAGGCACTGTAGGAGGACGAGGACGGCGTTCTCCGCGAGAAGCTCTTGACCGCCAGGCTCTGGCCCCGCTGTTTCCGCCGCCAGGCCGTCCGACACTTGGAGTCGATGCTCTGCTTGATCCGGTACCAGTCCGATTCCGTGATTCCGAATTTGTAGAACAGGTGGCCTACGAGAACACACCACGAATGAGAGCCGTGAGGTAAAGGCCCCCCTCTAGGGCCCCGCTGTTGGGGAGCAGCCCCCGCTCCCCTGGACGCACCTGCGGGGCCGGAGCCCTGCTCTGTGCAAGGGTCCGGATCACACATCGCAGAGACGTACTCAGCCGTCAGGGACGGCCCCCCAGGTACGGATACGCACTAGAGTATAGTCGCACGTTCCTCTGATTCACCTGAATTCTAAACGCCTTCGACGTGGGGAGGGGCGGGCCACTGAGTGCTCACGCGAGTCCCCAGCTACTCCCCCCGCCTCGAGTTCACGGACGGCACTTCTCGACCAGAGAGTAAAACGGAGGATCTCGCCGATACAATGAAAACTGGTTTTCTGAACCTCCAGCTCGCTGCCCTTCATGCTCACTCACGTCTGCTCGGTGACCTCCCTCACTGCCTCCAGGTCTCCACCGGAGCGTCACCTCCGTCACCCACCCTCGCACCCAGCCGTGTCCCCTGCACCCCGTCCTCCCACGCCTGGGACCGATCGTTCTTTCAGGGCACTGATCACTTTCCAACACGGAAGAATTCATCCGCTTACGGATCTGTGTTGACTCCTGGCTTCCCTCACAAACACGGGGTCTCCGTGTTGTTCACCTATGCGTGTCAAGCACCCGGCATGACCGGGCACATAGCAAGTGCTTAAGTATCTGTTGGATAAACAGTAAAACGCTTAAATACTCATTGGAGGCTGGGCGAGGTGGCTCAGGCCTGTAATGCTAGCACTCTGGGAGGCCGAGGCGGGCGGATTGCTCTAGATCAGGAGTTCAAAACCAGCCTGAGCAAAGCGAGACCCCGTCTCTACTATAAATAGAAAGAAATTAACTGGCCAACTAATACATAGAGAAAAAATTAGCTGGGCGTGGTGGTGCATGCCTGTAGTCCCAGCTACTTGGGAAGCTGAGGCAGGAGGATCGCTTGAGCCCAGGAGTGTGAGGTTGCTGTGAGCGAGGCTGACGCCAGGGCACTCACTCTAGCCTGGGCAACAAAGCGAGACTCTGTCTCAAAAAACAAACAAACAAACAAACAAATAAATACTTTATCAGATGAAAAATGATTGCAACTGGCTGTAAGGCATGCTTCCTTCCATTGCTACCTGTGTCTGGTGGGCGTGGGCGTGGCTTTCTGGGGCCGCTCTCGTGCCTACTTAAGTAGCACACTCTCCACACGGGCAGGGACTATGTGCTCCACTGCTGTTCTTATTCCTGGAGCCCCCACACCTGGCTGCACCGGCACTGTCCACTCCCCCCGGGGGGCCACCGAAGGTACGTGGTCCCGAGCTCCTCCCGGGCTCACCTGCACACGGGAGAGCACGGCCCTGGTAACCGGTTCCAAATCACGCACATTCACGAGAGCTCTCAGACATTACTGAACAGCATCCAGAGCCCCCTCCTTCGACAAAGTGGAAACTGAGGACAGGATGGGCCCAGCCTGCATCTCAGCGGACCACACGACCCTTTCTTTGCACCAAACTGGCGACAGGAATTAACGATGACAAACTCGGGAATCCTAAGAAATTCTCTTCCATGCAGCGACCTCGAGAGCTGGCTCGCGCAACGCCACTGATCAACGGGAAGATAAATGGATGGAATTCAAAGTTGCAACAACAAGAAGATTAAGCTGAGAGACGTCCTGTTTTGACTGCCGGGAGCACGGAGTTTGGACCATTGACTGAGAGTTAAATTACTGCTGGAAGCCCTAAAAATCTGTCTTTGCTGAGACCAAAATACTAGAAATAATCAAAACAGAGGAAGTGTTTGTTTTAAGTACCATATTAAGTATCGAAAGTATCTTGGACCCTGGAAAGACACTTCTTGACTTTTTCTGTGAATACACGCTTAAGACACATTTGACTCTAAACAGAGTGACAGCCAAAGTTTCTTACTCTAGATTAAAAAAAAAAAAAAAAAAAAAGTTAAGGAGGGGTAGGATTTACAGGATCAGAAAGAACAATAACCTAAAGTAGTTTCAGCAGCTCTTTTGCATCCTCGTGTGTAAAAGGAAATTCACAAATGGAGCAGCAACTCTCCTTTCTCGTGTTCTCGCAGGTCATCTCTAAAATAACCCCAGGATCGCCATCCGGCAAACACGTTCTCAGCGACTGCTCTGTGGCGGGGACGGCCTCACCGAGTCTGGGCCGCTACCAACTTCAGGGAGAGAAGAGCCCAAATGCAGACTGCAACTGCCATAGAGACCAAGCATTAAAATTACAGCCCCGAATAATTCCTGGCAAACCCAACTACTGACTGGTTTCGGAAGGACCCAGATGCTGACCATAGCTACAAGGGAGCCCAACCATGAAACTCAGGTAAACAGTCACAGGAGAACCCACTGTCGGCTGCGCTTACACGGGGGCCACCTACAACCGTGGTCGTCAAGACAAGCAAGGGAACTACAGTCACACGCAGCGTGAAAACATCCGTGGGGCTCGTCAGCAACAGGAAACACGCTCAAAACCCTCCCTGTCCTCCTGGCGTCTTCACACCCAAGGAGAAAACTTCTAAATTCTTCTAGGGATTAAGGAAACTGTATTAAATTTTAACATATATTTAATATATATATCCTTTTCCATCACTAACAAGTATATATATACACTATGTAAACATATGTTTTAATATGCATCAAATGTTATATATGTTTTATATGTTATATATAAAAAGCATGGGTGTATAAATACAGGAAATGAGTGGAAACGTTGACATTTACGTTCGACTCTGTAAAAATCGATTTGGCGTTTCAAAACCTGGTATCTGTCCTTTAAAGAAGGAACCTACACTCACACAGTCGCATGCCGTCCGCTGACCAGTCCTCCTAATTCCCTCCAACGGCAACTCCAGGCTCCGACTGACGGCACGGCCCCTGCAACTGCCCAGAGAAGCCAACCCATGAATCTGCAGCAGAAGCGCCTAGGCCACGCAGAGCTGTGTTTGGGAGGAAGGTCTGACGGGGTTGGATGGGGTCCGGCATGGCACACGGTTCTCGCTTGGACCCCACGGGGGGCCAGGACCCACCTCTGCGCGGCTCCGCGGGAGGCTCTGACCTGCCGCGGGCTCCAGCTCCCGACCATCCCCAACCCCGCTGCTTCCACCGCTCTTCAGAACGCTTCTGTGCCTTCCTGCCGGCACCGGGCAGCCTCTGCTTAACACGCGGTGCAGTAAAATCTTACAACAAGGCCGGGCGCAGTGGCTCACGCCTGTGATCCCAGCACTCTGGGAGGCCGAGGCAGGCAGATCGCTCGAAGTCAGGAGTTCAAAACCAGCCTGAGCAAGAGCAAGACTCCGTCTCTACTAAAAATAGAAAGAAATTAATTGGCCACCTAATACACAGAGAAAAAATTAGCCGGGCATGGTGGCGCGTGCCTGTAGTCCCAGCTACTCGGGAGGCTGAGGCAGGAGGATCGCTTGAGCCCAGGAGTTTGCAGTTGCTGTGAGCTAGGCTGACGCCACAGCACTCACTCTAAGCCTGGGCAACAAAGCAAGACTCTGTCTCAAAATAAAAAAATCTTATAACGACGTGATCGAAAGATTACCTTGAACCCAACTGTCACTGTACCCTTGCAGAAGCATTTTATCCCTAGATACACACTAAAAACAAAAAAAAACCCTCATGGAACAAGAATGTTGTTACCCTCACTTCAGTTTTGAGGCAGAAACCAGAGAAGTGAGAAGCAATTCGCCCACGTCAGGCTACCGGTTATGTGTGAGAACCCGCCTGGTGCCCACCAAGTGGGGGAGAGGCGGCCGCCCTGCGCGGTCCTCACCAGTGCCCCAAGGTCCCCCAAGGGGCAGACACGGGGACGCCCCGATCACACACCGCGTGCCCTGCTCTCTGGTTTCCCACAGCCCGAGCACGCTGGGTGCTCCGGCCGGGAGACGTGTGGCACTTTCGGGTGAGAATGGCATCGGCAGCAGCTTCCAGGATATGGGGGACAGAAGCCCCGGGGCCTGGTGGCCGAGGCATGCGGTGCCTGCAGAGCCGTGGTGGCCGTCCCACCCAGGGCCCCACTCCTCCAGGGGCGCAGCCCGACCGCCCACCACACTGCCCTCCATTGCTGGTGGCCCTGTCCCCATGAACTGCCTTCACTTCCCAGAGCTCCCGGGACCGACCCCGTGGCTCCGATCACTAAGCCAGATCCCCGGCTCTCAAGTGACGGGCTGTGCAGGGGCAGCGCGGCTCCTGGGAAGCGACTGGCAGGGCTCGCCGCGGCCGCGGTGGGTGGCGGAGGTTTATCAGCAGCGAAGGAATGAAAACACCACCGCTGCTGATGTGATCTCAAGTTCAAAGAGAAAGCAAAGCAGAAGACCAGTGCCAACAATCTGTTTCTTGAAATTACAGACTGGACGTGATAGCGCTGGCCTGGAAAACACAAGGAATCTGCGACCTCTGCCCAAGGGAGGGGGCGATCTAATCGCTCCCGCGGAGCCGGGGAGGCTGGACTCGCGCCGCCCGCACCCAACACCAGAGCCTGCAGCCGCCCGAGCCACCGTGCGGTGACCGACCCCTTCTCGGGGAGAATCATGGGGCCACACCTGCGTCCCCTTTGTTGAGAGAGCCCCGGGGGGCCATCTCCGCCCCCCCCCCCACGGCACGGTATCCAGGTCACCCGTGCGGAGGGGCCCCAAAGCGGGAGAGACGAGGCCTGCACACAGCCAGGCTGTTGGCCCGCAGCTGTCCGTGGGTGCTCGACTCAGAACACCCACCGCCCGTGTCTGTCGTGACCACAGACGCCAGCGTCCTCCCCGCGCCGAGGACGGGCCCCGACTCGGCCCACCGGCCAGCAGCGCCCCCGCCCCGCCCCCACCCACAGGCGGGACGCGGCCACACTCACAGCGGATGCCGTAGATGGTGAGCGGGTCCAGCTGCTTCTTGCCGTGCTTGCCCTGGCCCGAGAGGTTGGACACGGCCTGCACCTCGCGGTGGAAGAGGTAGTCCAGCAGCGTCAGGGCCATCTTCTCGGCCGTGCGGCAGTTGGTGCTGATGTGCAGCATGTCGGAGGGGATGATGGCGCAGCGCACACGCATCTCGGGGTTGTTCTCGTCGCCCAGCCAGGTCCCGTTGGGGTAGTCCTCTGCGAGAGAGAGAGAGAGAGAGAGAGAGACGGTTGGCAAGTGATCTCGGCTCGGGGCACGCACCACGCGTTCAGGGTGACAGAGCGCTCAGCTCGGACGCGCCCCGAAAGACGCTCCACGCGGCTGCCCAGCAAATCACGCTGCAACGTCCAGGCCGGCTGCTGAGGCCGGGCAGCTCCCGCCCCGACACAAGAAAGCGCCGCGGGCTGCACTGACAAAGAGCAGACACGGTTCTGTCACTCCCCAGAGGCGCCTAGGGTTCCTGCGTTTCAGGAGGACGAGTGTGGCGGATCACGCCGTGTAAACACTCTCTGTTCTGCACTCGCTCCCGGCCAGCTCCGTGACACACGCGGGACGCAGAGCCCACCCAGGCCTCCCTTGGCTCTGAGGCCGACCAGGTGTGGCTTCCGGCGTGCGCCCAGCAGCAGGGGGAGCCTCCGAGCAGGGGAGCCCCCCGAGACCCTGAGCGGGGACCCCCAAGTCCATGCTCGAGTCTGGAAGAGGTGACACCAAATGCTCCCGTCTCAGATACCAGATTCTCTCCGCGGCCCCGGCAGGGTGAAGAGCTTTGAAAAGAAAACCGTTGAGAACGGTGTGTGCTTCCTGCTTTGCCCACATCTGGAAGGGAATCAGAGAATAGGGGGCGGCTCTGCACACCCGTCTTGGGGACAGCCAAGGACGGTGCCCAGCCCCGTGAGACCGACAAGAGGCGACCGGGGGCTCCGCACGGCCCGAGGGAGACCCAGGCGCCCTGCGGTCAGTCATCCTCTGCGAGGCACAGGGTGGGCCGGGCGTGGCCGGGCGTGTCTGCCCCCAAGGGCCCCTCCGCCCCTCACCACGGAGTCCTGCCCACCTCAGTGCTCTGGATTTTTCTTTCCCGTTGGGGGCCCCGCTTCTCCCTCCCCTCCTCTGACGGCTCAGCAGCAAACAGGGGTCTCTGCACCTCCTCTGACCTCCCCCCTCCTCTTCTGGCCAGACTTCCTTCCTCGCCACCACACATTTTGTGCTGTTATGTCGGTTTATACCCCAAAGGTTGCTAGCAACAGAAGGAGGATGCGAGTCTCAGGTCGGGGGAAGGTACGGGGGAGGCAGGGACACGCGGGAGGAGCCACCCCCTCCCCCTGCCCCGCCCCGTGACCCCTGCGGACCTGCTGTCCTCCCACCGCCCCGTGACCCCTGCGGACCTGCTGTCCTCCCACGCCGCCAGACATGCCGCCACCACCCTCAGGACGGACGCTCCTTCCACTCTCCTCAAACCGTGCCCGGGCGCCAAGCCTTTCCCCACGGGGAAAGACGCTGAGACGGCGGCCCCAGACTCTGGCTTTCTCGGGGAAGGTTAAAAACACAAGGCTCGGGGCTCAGCGCTCGGGCGTGTGAAGCGCCCAGGCCGGAGGAGGGAGGGTGGCACCCAGAGTAGACAGAGCTGGCCTGGGAGAGAGGTCCCGAGGTTCCCGAGACAGGGGTGGGGCCGCCTGCTGCCTGCCTGGCGGCGCCGCCCTAGAGCACAGCTACACCCTTCCCGCTCCCTCTGCCACCAAGGGAAGGCGCCCCGAGCGGGCACTGGCTCTCGGCTAGACTGAGTGGTCTGGCTTCTGTCAACCACGGCGACTCCTCTAGTCGTAAGACTGACCAAGTGAGGTCCTGAAAGGCTTGGTGACGTGTCAAACGTCACCTTCAGACAGCCTCCCTGGAGGGCGGAAGAAAGCTCCGTGTGTCACTGCAGACCAAGAGAGCTCGCGCTCCGGCTTGGAAGCCCTGAGGTGCTCTGACCCCAACGCGGAACGGAGTGAAGGGGCGTCCCCCCGTCCCCCGGCACGCGTGGAGATCTACGCGAGGCCGCAGGGCCAGGCAGAGGCAGAGCCCGACCAGAAGCAAGTGCTCTGGCCCGTGACAACTTCCTGCCTACTCAAAACCGGCGTTGTGGCATTGTTCCAGTGTCTCCGCCTGGAAAGCTGCTGATCCGCAGACACCTCTGTACTGAACAGAGCGTTCCTCTCTCACGTACGCTCCTGACACGATCTGCTGGATTACTCAGCGTGCAGGAGTTGCAGGCAGGGGGCCGCATTTCAGCCGGTCTGGGGAGGAGGGAGCCCGCCAGCCTCCTTGCCGGCAGCAGCACCGTCACCAGGTGAGAGTGGGAGGAGCTGGGACAGACACCTGTGGGCAGGGAGGCGACCGCAGCTGGAGAGGCACAGACCAGCAGGACGCATAGCTCTGCAGCCGAGGGTCTGCTCTGCTCTCGGGGTCTCCGCGCAAAGGGCACCGTCCGGGACGGCCCAAGTAACCCCGACACCAGCATGAGTGCCATCATGGGCGTGGCCATCCCACAGTGAGTGTCCCAGGACCGCACCCTCTGCCTGAGGAGCGCGCCCGCGGGCACCGGCTGCCCATCCTGAGACCCACGCTGAGCCGCCACGCGCCGTGGCCCTCCTGCCTCCCTGCGCTGCCCTCCTGGCTTCTCCGCCGGCAGGCACAGCGCCGTCCTCGGGCCACGCCGCCGTCCGCACCGCTCTGTCCCACCTGACCTATCCGCAGTCCCACGCTTCCCTGGCCGAGTCACAACTGCCATGACGGCGCGTGCCGATCCGCCACACGGACCTACGTCAGAAACACGCATGCACAATGAACTTCGTAATACGTAAACACGTTTACGTGTGTAAATACGTTTCAAGGAACATTGCTGTAAAGTTTTCTTTTTACACCCTCCTGGCACACGGCAATTTTTCTAGCCCGCTTCACAGCGCAGGCGCCACGAGACGGTCCACGCCGACGAGCTCACAGTGCCCCGCCCTCCCGGCGGCTTGCCACAGAGCCACCCCAGCCACTGCTCTTGGAGCGCCCATCCACCAGTCCCTGACAGTAATAGCATCCAGACGAGGGTTGCTTTTCGTCAAGACCCTGACCGCAAGACCATCCCCTGGAGGGCCAGTGACACCACTGAGAATGTGAAGGCCAAGATCCAGGGTAAGGAAGGGACCCTCCTGACCAGCAGAGGCTCATCTTTGCAGGCAAGCAGCTGGAAGACGGCCCACTCTTTCTGACTACAACATCCAGAACGAGTCGACCTGCACCTGGTCCTCCGCCTAGGGTGCTGTTAATTCCTTCGTCTTACATTCACAGTGCCCAACGATGACGTTACCTGCGCTATAGCCATTTGCCCCAATTTAAGTTTAGAGATTACGTTCATAGTAGCTTGAACTGTGTTAAATGTTAATAAAGGTTTTGTGCATGTAGCAAAAAAAAAAAAAACGTGCCGAGCAGTCTATGTGGACAATTGCGAGTTTGTGAGAACCATCAGATGCATACACAGCAGGACCAAGCGTTTTATTAGAAGCCTCAGCCAAATCCCTTCATTCACTAACAGCTCCAGCAGGCCCTTTCGGCTCATTCATCTCTCTAACTCAGCTGCTGCCTGGAGTGAGGGGGCCCCGCGCTCCCGGCACTACCGAGACACCCGCACACGGACACCCCACCCACAGGACACAAACACGGGCTCTGAGCTTACCATTCCCTGCTCGGGCCGTCAGGTAGCCACCTTCCTGCCTGGCCAGGGAGCTTGCGTCAAGACAAGGGAACTGCCTCAGCAAGAAACCAGGGTAAAACGACACGCTCTCTGCCGCATGATAACCGATTCCAAAAGTCTGACATAAACAGCACGCCGATTCAAAACAGGCCGCTGGGGATTCCTGAGAAATAACCGTTGGGAAACCTGATCCTCTGAAACTTCAGGCGCTGACATGCTCGCAGAGACCAGAGCCATCTGTCTGCTCGCTGCCGCCCTGTCTTGCCAGGAACTGAGACGGCTAAATGCAACGTCCGCCGTCACCGTCAGCGCGCCCGTTAACGATGCTCCTCTGACGCAAACCTGCCGCCCCGACCTCCTCCCCAGGCCACGCCGCTCCGGCTGGAGCCACGCGGGAAGGCTCCCCCTGCCCTGGGTGCGCTCATAATATCCGGCAAGGTTTAACGCGCGACGCCACTGCAGTCCCGTAAATCTGATCCGAGACACATTAATGGGTCGGCTGTTCCGCAGCATTACCCAGCAGGCAACCACTTAAAGACGGCTTCATTTGTCTCGCTAATCTCCCCCCACCCGCTGTGCCGAACACGGCGGCCAGAGCCTTCCTGATGCGGATTTCCGCCAGGATAGTCGGGAGAGAGATTCACGATGGAATGTTTTTTTTTCCTAAAGGAACGGAATTATAGCCGCTTCTTCGAGACCAGCAAAATTTAATTTGGAAAAATGTCCCATTTGCCCCAATCCTTACACCTCTGTATTGTTATGTCAAAGTCACGCTTGGTGGAAACAATCAGTTTCAAAAGTGGTTATTCCTTAACAGCACAAGATAAAAGAAAAGAAAGCAAAAAAAAAAAAAAATAAAACAGAGAAAATGTAATTAAAAAATAAAGTAAAAGTGTTATAAAACTTTGCCAAAGCCTTTGGCCAAGGAGAGACTGTCTTACATAACGTACCGGCTCATTTTTAAGGAACTAAACTATATGAAGAAATCATACTTTTGCTTATAGATATAATACTAAGTAAGTTCCAAACAATTAATTCCTTTGGTAAGTTCATTTTAGGGCCAATCTGCGTTTCTCCCAACTGAAATTTTCATTATTAAGTATCATCACCATTTGAAACATAAACTTTCAAATGTCTAAATTTTAAGGCTTAAAACTATTTTAAAAATGAAATAAAAAAGTATTTTAATTTTATTTAATTTGGAGTTTATGACAACCCCAGACTCCCAAATGGATGCAAGTTTTTTGTCTTTAGCTGACACAGGGTTTTTTTTTAAATTAATTAATAACTTTTTAAGATTACGGGTCTCAGTCGTTGCCGTGGTGGCAATGCAGTGGCTGTCATCCAGACTCACGCCAAACCTCAAACTCCGGCTCAACGCATCCTCCGCCTCACCTCTTGGTACGGGATAACAGGTGACCATACATGGCCGCTAATAATCTTCTACTTTTTGCGTAGTAGCTGGTACTTCCTTGC